TGTATATAATTCTGATTGTATCTAATCGAAATTATATTTTTAAAATAACTAATTACATTTCAGAAGATTACTTCTAATAATATTATTATTATTATTATTATTAATTGATTTGTTTCAATTAATTAATATTACAATGAAATATAACATAATTCTACCTGACTTCTATTTAAGTTAATATGATAACTTAATTAATGAATTTTATACAATTTTGATTGTATCTAATCAAATTTGTATTTTGAAAATTACTAATTACATTTCAGAAAATTACTTCTGCTACTATTATTATTATTATTAATCGATTTGTTTCAATTAATTAATATTACAATGAAATATATATATATATATAACATTTTTCTATCTAACTTCTACTTACATTAATATGATAACTTAATTAAAGAATTTTATACAATTCTGATTGTATCTAATCAAAATTGTATTTTTAAAATTACTAATTACATTTCAGAAGATTACTTCTATTATTATTATTATCATTATTATCATTATTATTATTATAATTATAATTATTAGTATTATTAATGAATACAAATCGTATTTATGCATGAAGTGATTCATTCGTCATATTAAATCACATGAGATATATTCAAATGATCGTTACCGTTATAATATCGATCACAAGCTAAGTCTTGGATTTTACATTTTACAGTAGATGATCATTTATCAACTTCCGTATCGGTAGTAGTATCGTTAACGACTGAAACTAATGGATCGAACGTTAAAGGTATTTCAACTCGAACAGATTAGTTTGCTTTTTTTTTTTTATTTTTTTTTTTTTTATTTCTCCTTTTCTCCTCCTTCTATCATTAATGCAAGGTTATTATGTAAAGTTATTTATGATGTCAATATGTTATCAGTGAAGAGATTTCTATCGATAATTAGTAATCGTTTTTAATTATCTTATTAAACCTTTTGAATACAGATAAACTGATTCGATCGAAAAAGATAATTTTTATGTTTAATAATATCACGGTTTTTTTTTTTTTATTAGATGTGTTGCACTTATGAAGAATATGTATTTCTAATATATTTAATAAATTAATTAATAAAATTAGGCTTCAAAATTATTTGTAAAGTATAAAATTTGGTTTTGGTATTTCAATGCAAAATTGAAACGATTGTTATTCATATTTTGTATTCAACATTTTTCTAAATAATTTAATAACATATTATTTAATATTTATTTGTACAAAAATTGCATTTATGAAGAATATGTATTTCTAATATATTTAATAAATTAATAAATAAAACTAAGCTACAAAATTATTTGTAAAGTATAAAATTTGGTTTTGGTATTTCAATGCAAAATTGAAACGATTGTTTTTCGTATTTTGTATTCAACATTTTTCTAAATAATTTAATAACATATTATTTAATATTTATTTGTACAAAAATTGCGTTTAGGAAGAATATATTTTTCTAATATATTTAATAAATTAATAAATAAAACTAAGCTGCAAAATTATTTGTAAAGTATAAAATTTGGTTTTGGTATTTCAATGCAAAATTGAAACGATTGTTTTTCATATTTTGTATTCAACATTTTTCTAAATAATTTAACAAAATATTATTTAATATTTACTTGTACAACAAAAAAGTAACTGCATTAGAAAAAAAAAAAAATAATAATAATATGCATGTATTATTCAAAAACACGAGTTATGGGAAAAGTTTATACATAATTACAGAAACTCGACAGTACTTAAAGTTTTAATTTGATCGTGACATTGTTGAAAAAATGTTGAACGGGGTTTTGTTGGGTCTCATTTATGGGAGAAACAACGTTATAGAATGTTGTCAGGTTCTTAGATTATTCTTTTTGTTTTTTTTGTTTTTGTATTACGCTCACTTTACCTTACCTCTTTTAGTCATAAGATATATATATATAGAGTCGAGGAGATTAAATTTTTAACTCCCTTGTATAAGCCATGGGGAAACTGCAACTGCAGCTGCAATGAAGCTCACTTTAATTATATTTACCTAAAGTCGTAAATAATTTTATCGGTATAACTTAATGTTCATATATATATATATAACCAGTTAACTTCCAAACTTAATCACCACAAACGCATAATTATTATAGTCATACATATACATATACATACATATATATATATATATATACTTGTAATAAATCTTCTATGAATTAATCATAAGATATAATACCTCAAGCAATATATATCGTAAAAAATTATTTGTACGTAAAAATTCGTATATTTCGTTTATTTTAATTAATATTATTATTAAATTATAATTATTAATTTTTAATCTGCAAAAAAAAAACAAAAATTTAATATTTTATCATATTTATTTATAGTATTAAAAAGAAAGGAACATATATATGGAGTATGTTTATTTAAAAATTTTCCCAAGTAGGAGAATAAATTTTGATTTTAAGTAAGTAACGTTGAATTTTGAGAACGAAAGAAAAAAAAAAACATGTAAATTTAGATATCGACGAGGGGGAGGGAAAAATGGGGGGGGGGAATTTTATATAAAGTAAATATTGATCAAATTTTAAATTCTATCCATAAGGGAATAAGCACTTTAGTTAACCCTACTTTGAAATTTTAAATAGCACCTCAGCGTATCTCCTAATACATAATCTCTCAACGGTAAAAAAAATTCACATCTATAACCGAGTCAACAAAAAATTTGATTCGATTGGCAAAAATTATTTGAAATAAAAAAAAAAAAATAAAAAAAAAAAAAAAAGAACTAAAAATGATTTGCATTTTCAATATTCAGGGTAAATACATTGTCAGCATTATAAAAATGTTTTTTTCTTCTTTTTCAACACATTTACACTTTACTTGAAAATTAAAATGATTAAAATTATCTGTACACATACATACATGCATACATACATACATACATACATTTACTAACACACTTTAAATATTTATTTCGTTGTATATAAACTCTGAAGACATATATACCCAGTGTCTCTAAGGATTCATATATATATATATATATATATATATATATATATATCCGGTGTCCCACGAGTGATTATTCTTAGTAATTAAAATAAATTATATTTTACTCGAAGTATGTTTAGAAAAAAGAAAAATTACGCGTGTTAGGATGAATAAATAGTAAAATAATTAATTATTAGAAATATTTAATGTACATTACTGTAGATATCATTCCCTCATGGAAAATATAATTTACAAAATTAAAATCCCATCGCGTAAAGAATCATGTCATTAATTTAAATACCACGATTGGATTTTAATTTTCTAGTAATTTTATTCTCTCTTTATCCTTTTTTATTTATTAAAACATATTTTACAAATAATTCTTATCGATAACAGCAATGTTGCATTTCTCGTAGCCCGAGTTTGAAATTGTTTTGTACCCAGTTGAGGATGTGCACGTCTGTCTCGTATCACCCCCAGTCATTTTCCGCAAACCTTTTCCGATCGATATTTCCCTCCTTTTCACCCTTACCACTGAACTACAACGCACTTGCTTCTCCATCCCCTAAAACCTTTCACTTTTCGTCTCGCTCTTGAAAATTTTCAGGATAAACTTTCCAAAAAAAAAAAAAAAAAAAAAGAAATGTAACTTCGAATATTCAAATTAATTAACGATTTACATTATTAAATTATTAATTCAATTAAATGAACAATTTATTATTAATAAATTNCTCGTATCACCCCCAGTCATTTTCCGCAAACCTTTTCCGATCGATATTTCCCTCCTTTTCACCCTTACCACTGAACTACAACGCACTTGCTTCTCTTACATATAATATTATAATATTTTAATTCCACTATTTATTATTTTGATGACAATGTTTAATTAAATTAAAAAAAAAAAAAAAAAATAAAAAGAAATGTAACTTCGAATATTCAAATTAATTAACGATTTACATTATTAAATTATTAATTCAATTAAATGAACAATTTATTATTAATAAATTAATACATTATTAAAATTAAATTAAAAAAAAAAAAAAAAGAACAAAATACTTTTGATGTGATTATGTCAAAATTATTATTATAATAATTTAATTATTTAATATAATTATCAAGTATTTTGGTTTTTACATTTTAATATATAATTTAATATATATAATATAATTAAATATATATAATTTAATTTAATATATATATATATATAAAATTTAATTAAATATAATTAAAATATAATATAATTAATCCCTTCAGGAACTATTTTGGCTTAACGTAATACAACACCGCTCGAGTTAACTTGAGCGTGCAACTTAAGGAGTTAAATATATATATTTGTATAATTTTTTTTTTTATTTATAATTAGTAATATTTTTATATATTAGTGATGCAATATAATGACCTTGGTCTTTTTAAAATCGAAATATTATTAATATGTGATGAATAACGATAACAAACTTGGTGCTATCGTTAAAACTTAATAAACTTTATTTAAAACGATCGACCGATCTCGGTCCAACGTTATATGGCGTTGGATAACATTAAACGTCTATATTATTACGATATTAAAGAGAGGAAGAGAGAGAGAGAGAGAGAGGGAGAGTAGAGTAGGACGATGAGTTCATATAGGATAATTTACTTTCCGTGATGATATTACATTTTTATTCGTTACTGACCGCACGTTTCGAACTGCATCGGCATTGCGATTAACGACCAATTAAAATCGTGAAAATAAAAGCGATAACGCATGCACATATATATGCATATGTGAATATATATGCAAGTGTGTGTACGAACGAATGATCGAAAAATATCGATGGTAACCATTACTTAAGATCGCTTTACCATGGATAATGTAACATGATTTGAAAACATGTTTGAAATTTATTCAATTGGAAGGGTGGTTTCCTCGAGATCGTTTTGAAAACGTTTAACAGCAATTTCTCGCATAAAGCACACATAATATTTTCTTTTTGAATTCTATTGAAACGTTTATATTATTATCTATAATATTAAAGTAAGAAATATTATTATTATTATTATTTATATTTTTATTATTTGTTTCAGATGATCAAAATGCGGTGACGTTATTGAAGAAAACATTACCACAAATATACATATCATCGAAGACATATTAATTACATTGATCGAAATAATATTAAGATTTAAAAAGAAAAATTATCTAACCGTGATTCGTTAAATCGATTGATGCATATCATAAATCCAGAAGAAGAAGAAGAAGAAGAAGAAGAGGAAGAAGAAGAAGAAGAAGAAGAAGAAGAAAGTGAAAGTATATTAGAAAGAATTCAAATTCAATTCAATTTAGCCGATTTTTTCCAAGATCAGCTATGATAAAAAAAGTGTGATCGAATTAGTTTATTGATCATAGTTTAATTAACAAAATATCGACGAATAGGAAAAGTAGTGTGGAAAAAACGAGAAGTTAGGTGTGTAAGAATGTTGTTGAGGTAACACGCATAGAAACTCTTTGAGAATAGTAGCAGTGGAAGTTGATCGATAAAGGTGGGTGAAAGTTGATCGTTGAAAAGGGGTAAAAAGGGGGAAAAAATAAAAAGGGGAGAAAAGTAAAAGAGGAAAATATTAAAGGAAAGAAGGAAAGAAACGAACAAAAAGGATGGGCTTTCCAAGAAGAAGATCATTGTGGTTGAAGGTTGGAGTATTGGCAACCGCTGTTTGGATCACCGTGTGTTTCCTTTTATACACGGAGGATCGTGCGGCTGCAGAAGCTGTACAGGGTTTGGCACCCTCTGGTGTCGCTGCACCACCACAAGTGGCCAATGGTTTTGTGCCACCGGCTCTTCCTCTTAGAAAAGAGACCCAAGGAAACGTCCAAAGCAAAGCCAAACTTAATCAGGCTGGTTTAGAACAAGGTAAACCAAACCTCTTCCATTTTACTTTCATTTCATTTATTATTCCTTTTTTTCATGAAAAATCTTTCATTACAGTATAAAATCAATGAAACAAATCTTAATTAACTTTGAATTGTTCTTCTTTACTTCTTTTTTTTTATTAAACTAATATAACGATATAAATATCTTGTACTCTTTGAGTAACTCATTTGAATCTTTTTATTACGATTGTCCACAGTGCAATTTCCTTTTCTCAATGGTAATATCGGGGACGGGTAATATTTAAATAGAAACTAAACGAGAGAGAGAGAGAGATACGGGATTAAATGAAAAAAAAGTAGTACTTTAAGAGTCTTTGATAATATTCCTGATGATGAGTATAGAAAAAGAGACGACGAGGGAAAGAGTAAGAGTTAAAAGAAAGATACTGAATGAGTGAAATGAGCGAGTTTCCAGGCAAGTTCGCACCAGAGTGGCCAGTAAAGCAATTTGTCGTCGTCTTTATTGCCGTCATCGTATACACCAGGGTCCAACTTGCTGGGAATGGGATAAAATTATTTTCAAAAGGAGCAATAGCAAAATGCTACGTAGACCTCCATTGAAGTAACAGCAGCATAAGTTTGGATACGCTTGAACAGTATGACGCCATGGCAAATAAAACTCAAGTTTATGCGAAAATGCTTTCAGAAAGTATATGATATCTTTCTCTCAACTCTCTCTTTCTCTCTCATTTACTCACTCAAATACGATCGTATGGACGATTATAAAAATTCGATTCCATTTTCTCGAATTTATTTATATTTTCTTCTTCTCACAAGTTGTTTGTTCCACTTTAACGATTTCATGTGTGTGTGTTTGTATGTGTGAGTTAAATTTTTATTTATTTATTTTTTTTTTTCATTGACACAGGAGGAGGTGTTTTAGTCGCACCACGTGATCCAGACATCGCAGGACTCGGTGAGATGGGTAGACCAATCATATTACCGACTAATCTAACAGCTGAGATCAAAAAACTCGTGGACGATGGGTGGATAAATAACGCATTCAATCAATACGCCAGCGACCTTATTTCCGTGCATAGAACTTTACCTGATCCTCGTGACCAATGGTGAGTATAGTTTCATTAAATAACAATAATAATAATAATAATAATAAACAATAACAGTATTGCAATTTCAGGAATATTTGACGATTGAAATTTACGTTCAATCAAATTGTCACTTTGTCATGTATCAAATAATTTGATTCTTTTTATGCAATGTTTTATTTTTTATTTTTTTATTTCTATTTTTGTTTTGTATCGTCAAATAAAGAAAACGCAAAATCATTGACGTCAGGTGGCTTTCGATGTACCAAGAGAGTTAAATGGATCGTGGGAATATCTAACAGTATAAACGTTAAGCCAACGTTGAAGTAACTGTTCTTCTCTTCTAAATAGCAAGAAAAAGAGAGAGAGAAAGAGAAAGAGAGAGAGAGAGAGAGGAAAATGAAGCTTCCATGCTGCACCGAAAGATATTGCTAGGAAGTGGTGTAGCATTTTTTGCTATTCGAGGACTCATCTTGCCAGCATGTCGACGATTATATGTTACATCGTGCACGCCCTTTCTCTTCTATCTCTATTTCTCTCTTCTACCTTTCTCTTTCTCTCTCTAACACTCAGTATGTTCGTGTACAAAGGTCTGACCGTGCAACAACGCGGAAGAAACATCCCTAGAGGATTACAATTCCCTCGATCCTTAAAATTACTCAAACGGTGTTAACGATTATACGGTTTCAACGAACGTTTCGATAGTTTCGTGGAAACAATATTGCATCATCGTTGCAAAGAATTTCTAATCAAATGAATAATATATGTACAGTCTTTAAATTAAATTTCAAGTTAAAACTATTTTAGATACTTTGCAATTTAACGTTTTAATCTCTTTTAGAAAGGAATTATTTCATTTAGGTATATATCAAAGAAATTTGTGTGTAATTAAGTAACAGATGATATTATTCAATTTACGAGAATAGGTATTAAATATCTGATTTAAGAAAATGAATCTAAAATGTTACATTTTTAACTCGTGAAAATCGATTTTTCCTTGTTTTTCGTCGAGGGTTTAAAAGCAAATGTCGAACACAGATTTGTGGAAGATTCAAATAGAATGATCTTATTAAAATAAAACAATTTTCTAAACACCATATTAGGAGGTTTCTTTACAGAAGAAATGAGAATTTTAACGAACGTGTTGGCCAACTCTTGGTGAAAGTAGCTCGCGTATTTCGACTAGGACCGTAAATTTTCGGTAAAAGTTGGCAAGGACGGTCCTGTTGAGAAAGAGGAAAGGGATAGGAGAGGTTCGTAGGGGTTGGTAGATAGGTGTAGAAGAGTAGTAGCAGTCGGCAGTGGCGACACGGATATGGTAACGTTACCATACAACGCAGTTTCCAACGCGAAGCTCACCGGAATTAAGCCCATGAATATTAATTACAATTTACATGATATTAACCGACATTATCAGGACAGGTGGGCAAAGTTTGCGGACGCCTGTTGTTACTGACACTCGCAAACCCACCGATGTTCTAACCGACTAAACGAGAGAGGAAAGGTGGTGGCACAACCATACCACCGATACATACGTTACTGAACATGAAAACTACACGCACAAACACAAACACATACCTAAAGAGACGCGTGCTCACTTGGAAACAGGTGTTTCTAATTTAGCATGGCCTGGAGTTAGTAGTAGTCGTGGAAAAGCGATCGGTCCATTCTCTATGACTATACCGAATGGAAATTTCTATGGTTGTACTTGGAGAGGATAGGGGTTGGGAGGGATAATCTTTGTAAATTTCAACGAAACTTCTCTTACACAGTTATATCTGTAGGAAGAAACTACCTTAGAAATATGTTAACTGTCGTTTGTTATAATTTAACGTGTTGTATAATAAGAACAAGTTTTGCCAGTTCTCTTTGCTAAACTGTATATATATATGTGTTATCTTATTAAATTATATTTTACAGACTTACTAATTGCTTTACATAATAACACGACAATGGACATACCTAACGAACAAAATAACACGGATTTTGCATAGATAAATTACAAGTTATTATTATTGTAAATGAAAAAAAAAACATCTTATGAAGAAAATATCACTAACATCATTTCTACATTGTTATTGCATTATTCATAATAGTTATAATATATAAAACGTCCAAGTTATGGGATAAATTGTACACAATTCGTGTACCTAGCTATTTAACTGACGTATTCATATGGGGCATGTGTTAAAATTCTAACTCGTCTGTCTCCATGTAAACGCGTTCATGGCGGCAGTTTGCATCTCATTAGACAAAAGTTTCATCTTTGTCTCTTCTTTATCTCTTTTTCTCTTTCTCTCATTCTATCTCCTTTTCTTTCTCTTTTAAACTGTTCAACATGATTCGTTCTTTCTTCTACCAACCTTCCTTCCTTCCTTCCTTTTTCGTAGTCTATTTTCTTTTTTCATCCGAGCTTCAAAGGGAAATTGGCAATGTCGTTTCTAGCAGCTACAGAAAAGCGGGTTAAGAAGGGTAGAAAAAGGGTAGGTAGGAAAAGAGAGAATACGGACGAGTTTAACGAGGAATTATGAGCAACGAGAGTCTGTGTGCCAACCAACCTTCCTTCATCCACTTTTGCAATTTCTACTACTGCTGATATCTCTAAAGTCTACTTGTGTTTCTCTTGTTACCTTTCTTTCCTTTGGAAACATAGTATCATATGGTTTTTTATTACAATTTTTTTTTTTTCTATTATATTTATCACACCACAAATTTGTGATTTTATACGATTTTGTTGTTGTTAAGTGATTTCATAAAAAAATTACATCAAAAATATCGTTTATAATTGAAATTACGTAAATCGTTGAGAAAACAAAGATATTTTCAAGATTGTCGTTCTAGATATTTTACTTTGAATGAAGTTTTGATTTTAAAAAGAAATAAAATTCAGTGTTGTAGTAGAATAAGAAGAAGAAGAAGAAGAAGAAGATGATGAATCGTATAATAATATAAGTTTTACCTTTTATAAAAGCTCCATTCTTTAGTTTTCCTCATTGCGAATGGAACAAGTTGTTTACTTTGTACTTTGAACAATAGTCAGTCACCTTTTTGACGTAAGGTATTTGCGTAGTTTACTTTTGAAAAGAATATAAAGGACAGTTGCTCGTGCCGGGTCGATAATTTAGTTGTCTCTTTGCCTGTCCTCTCTTCTTTCTCTTTGCTCTTTAAGTTTACCAGAGAAGTTTACACTTTTAGACTTGTTTGAAGTGAATTAAAATAATGAAACTTTTTATCTTGGGGAAGAGAGAGCGAGGGATAGGGGACAGAAAGATGCTTTGTTAAGAATTCTTTGGTACTCGTAAATTATTTTCCTACCTTCCTTCCTTCCTTCCTACCTTCCTTTTGGAATCTCATTTTAACGCTTCGTTTAAATGAATATCGAGATAACGAATTACGCTGATTTGACTTTTATCGTTTCGTTGTCAACTTCGTTGGTACCTAGTTAAGTAGTAAGGTAAAATAAAAATCCTATTTCATTTTTTTTTTTTTTTAATTTCTTTTTTTTATTTCTTCTTCTTTTTATTTTACACAGGAATGAACTGGGAGTGCACACGAGCAGATTCGTAATTTAAATTCTTGCTCTGTGACAGTGAATGCTTGGGGGAAACTTCTAAAAGGATAATGAAAAAAATATGCTAGAGTTTTCATGATCTGACCGCTTGTGATATTTTTTCTTCTAATCTTGACTATATATATATATTTTACACAATTAGTATTATTTTACATATAATTAGTATTATATTATATAAATGATTTGATTAATTTTAAAATTAACAGTAGAACTACCACACCAGTCATTTTGACTGGTTTGACAACTTTGATATTCTTGATACCAAAGATTTTGATACCAAATATTCCTCATTATTGTACTTATTGTTATTATTATAATTGTTATTATATAGTTTTTAAGATCTCAAAACATGAAGTTCCTTTTGTAAAATAAATACAAAAATATTCTACTTTTACGTTTCTTTTAAAGACCAATAATTTTGACTAGTTTTGTTAGAGATAGTTACGTCTCAATTATCGATAGTTCTAGTGTTAAAACATAGTGAATTAAATTTATCAATAACCAATTAGGGGGATAATGATCTATTTGAATACGTTTATATGTAAATCAATTGATATCTAGTTTATCTATTTACTCGACAAAGTTTGTTCTCTTATACGAAAGCAACAAAAACCCTTAAAACGGCAATTCAAATGCAGAATGCAGTTTGACGAAACTGTAAAATGGTAGCACGCAAACACAGAAGTAGTTTATTGTAGGGTCGGTAAAAGTCAAGGAAGAATATTATACGTATATATATATATATATATATACCATAGGCATAGTGAATTGTTGTTTGCACCAAACCAGACGGAATAAGTTTGCTAGTTTCTGCCAACGTACCGTACCCCAACGAGCGTATAACGAAAACTAGAATGAGAATGAAGAAAGATATAAGCAGAATAAGAGAGAAAGAGAAAGAGARAGAAAGAGAGAGAGAAAGAGAAAGGGAAAATAGATAGACCGTTGAAGTAAATCGTGGTACTCGAATGCAAAACGATTGGGTAGAAGATGGTCGCGGTGTGCAGTGCAATGCAGTTGGAAACTGCACTGTGCACATTCCAGGAACCACCCCCCCCTCCTCTCTGTTCTTCGTGCGAATATATTTTCCCATTGTGCCGTCTTCACGATTTACCCTCACGTCTTCGTTGTTCGTGAAAACGTTTCTAAAAAGGGGTTGTCACACTTTCATGTAAATCTACTTTACAATCGTTCAATATATATATATATATATATATATTTTTATTTTGATCGTTTGTTATTCATTTGAATTTATTTTCCATGAATTTTCTCTCATGGTATAGGACGATTTATTTATTTCAATGTTGTATCCACGCGAAATCTCAATTATCTTTGGATTTAATATTTCGATCAGAGCAAATATTATAATTCTATAATGCTGTATGATTGTTAATTGTAAAAAAAAAAAAAGAAGAAGAAGAAGAAGAAGGATGATAATAATAATTAAAAA